AAGAAGAGCTAACAATCCTAAATATACACACACCCAATACAGGAGTTCCCAGATACATAAAGCAAGTTCTTTTTTTTTTTTTTTTTGAGACGGAGTTTCGCTCTTGTTACCCAGGCTGGAGTACAATGGTGTGATCTCGGCTCACCGCAACCTCTGCCTCCTAAGTTCAGGCAATTCTCCTGCCTCAGCCTCCCGAGTAGCTGGGATTACAGGCATGTGCCACCATGCCCAGCTAATTTTTTGTATCTTTAGTAGAGATGGGGTTTCACCATTTTGACCAGGATGGTCTCGATCTCTTGACCTCGTGATCCACCCGCCTTGGCCTCCCAAAGTGCTGGGATTACAGGCTTGAGCCACCGCGCCCGGCCAGCAAGTTCTTAATGACCTACAAAGAGACTTAGACTTCCACACAATAATAGTGGGAGACTTTAACACTCCACTGTCAATATTAGACAGATCAACGAGACAGCAAATTAACAAGGATATCCAGGACTTGAACTCAGATCTGGACCAAGCAAACCTAATAGACATTTACATAACTCTCCACCCCAAATCCATAGAATATACATTCTTCTCAGCACCACATCACACCTACTCTAAAACTGACCACATAATTGGAAGTAAATCACTCCTCAGCAAATACAATTGAATGGAAATCATAACAGTCTCTCAGACCACAGTGCAATCAAATTAGAACTCAAGATTCAGAAACTAACTCAGAACCAGTACAACTTCATGGAAACTGAACAACTGGCTCTTGAATGTTGGCTGCATTAATAATGAAATGAAGGCAGAAATAAAGATGTTCTTTGAAACCAATGAGAACAAAGACACAACGTACCAGAATCTCTGGAACACATTTAAAGCAGTGTCTAGAAGAAAATTTATAGCAGTAAATGCCCACATGAGAAACAAGGAAAGATCTAAAATTGACACCCTATCATCAAAATTGAAAGAGATAGAGGAGCAAGGTCAAAAAAACTCAAAAGCTATCAGAGGACAAGAAATAACTAAGATCAGAGCAGAATTGAAGGAGATAGAGACACGAAAAAACCCTTCAAAAAATTAATAAATCCAGGAGCTGGTTTCTTGAAAAGACGAACAAAATAGACCGCTAGCCAGATTGATAAAAAAGAAAAGGAAGAAGAATCAAATAGATGCAATAAAAAATGATAAAGGGGATGTCACCACTGATTCCACAGAAATACAAACTACCATCAGAGATTACTACAGACAACTCTATGCACATAAACCAGTAAACCTGGAAGAAATGGATAAATTCCTGAACACTTGCACCCTCCTAAGCCTAAACCAGGAAGAAGTCAAAACCATGAATAGACCAATAACAAGGTCTGAAGTTGAAGCAGCAATTAATAGCCTATCAACCAAAAAAAGCCCAGGTCCAGAGAGATTCACAGGTGAATTCTACCAGACACACAAAGAGGAGCTGGTACCACTCCTTCTGAAACTCTTCCAAACAATCCACAAAGAGGGAATCCTTCCCAAATCATTTTATGAGACCAACATCATCCTGATACCAAAACCTGGCAGAGACTCAATAAGGAAAGAAAACTTCAGGCCAATAATCATGATGAACATAGATGCAAAAATCTTCAATAAAATACTGGCAAACCAATTGCAACAGCACATCAAAAAGCTTATCCATCACAATCAAATAGGCTTCATTCCGGGGATGCAAATCTGTTTCAACATATGCAAGTCTATAAATGTAATTCACCACATAAACAGAACCAAAGACAAAAACGACATGATTATCTCAATTGATGCAGAGAAGGCCTTTGAGAAAATTCAACAGCCTTCATGCCAAAAACTCTCAATAAACTAGGTATCGACAGAACGTATCTCAAAAATAATAAAAGCTCTTTTCAACAAACCCACAGCCAATATCATACTGAATGGGCAAAAGCTGGAAGCATTCCCTTTGAAATCTGGCACTAGACAAGAATGCCCTCTTTCACCACTCCTATTCAATATAGTATTGGAAGTTGTAGCCAGAGAAACCAGGCAAGAAAAAGAAAATTAGGAAAAGAGGAAGTCAAATTGTCTCTATTTGCAGACGACATGATTGTATATTTAGAAGACCCCGTTGTCTCAGCCCAAAATCTCCTGAAACTTATAAGCAACTTCACCAAGTCTCCGGGTACAAAATCAATGTGCAGAAATCACAAGCATTTCTATACACCAATAACAGACTTAAAGAGAGCCAAATGAAGAATGAACTGCCATTCACAATTGCTACAAAGAGAATAAAATGCTTAGGAATATAACCAACAAAGAATGTAAAGGACCTCTTCAAGGAGAACTATAAACCACTGCTCAAGGAAATAAGAGAGGACACAAACAAATGGAAAAACATTCCATGCTCATGATTAGGAAGAATCAATATCGTGAAAATGGCCATACTGCCCAAAGTAGTTTACAGATTCAACGTTGTCCCCATCAAGCTACCAATGACCCTCTTCACAGAACTGGAAAAATACACTTTAAACTTTATATGGAACCAAAAGGGAGTCCACATAGCCAAGATAATTCTAAGCAAAAAGAGCAAAGCTGGAAGCATCATGCTACCTGACTTCAAACTGTACTACAGGGCTATAGTAATCAAAACAGCATGGTACTGGTACCAAAACAGAGATATAGAGCAATGGAACAGAACACAGGCCTCGGATGCAATGTGACACATCTACAACCATCTGATCTTTGACAAACCTGATGAAAACAAGCAATGGGGAAGGATTCCCTGTTTAATAAATGGTGTTGGGAAAACTGACTAGCCATGTGCAGAAAACAGAAACTGGACCCCATCCGACACCTTACACTCAGATTAACTCCAGATGGATTAAAGACTTAAACATAAGACCTGACACCATAAAAACTCTAGAAGAAAACCTAGGAAAAACCATCCAGGACATAGGCATAGGCAAGGACTTGATGAGTAAAACACCAAAAGTATAGGTAACAAAAGCCAAAATAGACAAATGGGATCTAATTAAACTCCAGAGCTTCTGCACAGCAAAAGAAACAATCATTAGAGTGAACCCACAACCAAAAGAATGGGAACAAATTTTTTCAATCTACCCATCTGACAAAGGACTAATATACAGAATCTACAAAGAACTAAAGCAGATTTACAAGAAAAAAACAAACAAGCCCATTCAAAAGTGGGCAAAGGATACGAACAGACACTTTTCAAAGGAAGACATTTATGAGGCCAATAAACATATGAAAAAATGCTCATCATCACTGGTCTTTAGGGAAATGCAAATCAAAACTACATTGAGATACCATCTCATGCCAGTTAGAATGGCGATCATTAAAAAATCTGGAGACAACAAATGCTGGAGAGGATGTGGAGAAATAGGAGCACTTTTACACTGCTGGTGGGAGTGTAAATTAGTTCAACCATTGTGGAAGACAGTGTGGCGATTCTTCAAAGACCTAGAAATAGAAATTCCATTTGACCCAGCAATCCCATTACTGGGTGTATATCCAAAGGATTATAAATCATTCTACTATAAGGACACATGCACATGAATATTCATTGCAGCACTATTTACAATAGCAAAGACTTGGAACCAACCCAAATGCCTATCGATGATAGACTGGACAGGGAAAATGTGGCACATATACACCATGGAATATTATGCAGCCATAAAAAACAATGAGTTCGTGTCATTTGTAGGGACATGGATGAATCTGGAAGCCATCATTCTCAGCAAACTGACACAAGAACAGAAAAACACCACATGTTCTCACTCATAGGCGGGTGTTGAACAATGAGAACACATGGACACAGGGAGGGGAGCATCACACACTGGTGTCTGTTGTGGGAGAATGGGGGAGGGACAGCAAGGGGTAGGGAGTTGGGGAGGGATAACATGGGGAGAAATGCCAGATAGAGGTGATGGGGAATTTTGCTATAAAAGGAGCGGATAAATGGACAGTGGCTAGGAAGGAACATGGTAAAAAAAGGGCTTGTTTAAATAAGGTGACAGAAATCATAAAATAATAGCGTGTTTTCATGCTGATGAACTGATTCAGTGAAGAAGGAAAATTAGTAACAGGGTAAGTAAGGGAGAAATGACAGAGTATATGAATAGGCAGAGGATTGAGGCCTAGTGCATACATGGAGGGTTACCCTTGGAAGCAGGGAAACAGCTCCTCTATAACACAATAGGAAGGCAGTCAGAGCATATGGGGAAAGTGCTGGTAGAAAGAACTACTAGGGGAACAGGGGTTCTCTTCTAACTCTTTTATTCATAGATTAGGAAATGAGATAATCAGCTCAAGTGAGAATTGAGGAATAGGGTTAGAGGTTTGTAGAGAAAGTAGAATATATTCAATGCTTGTCTAAGACAGTGGGCAATTACATAACCTTAGGCAGGACTTCTCAACCCAGGCCCTCTTGACATTTGAGGCTGGTTTATTCTCTGCTGCAGGAGAGACTGACATTATAGAATGTTTTGTGCATCGCAGAAACCCCACGGTATGACAGAAGCAGCCTTTCCCCCTTTTCTCCCTCAGTTGTGACAACCGAAAGTGTGCCTCAGATATTCCCAGATGTCCTTTGGGGTCATAATTGTCCCCAGTTGAGAACCACCAGTCTAAGGAAGTGTATTATGATAGGAAGCGTTAACAGCCAAGTTAAGGTTCATAATCATGAATTTAACATGAGATCATTCAGCATCGTCGTATTATATTCCGCTGTGCAGGTGCAGGCACAGAATATGAGAAAGTTAGATTTAACCAAGATTGGGGTTTTGCCAAAGGAGTACAATGAAGGGACTAGAGAAGAGCCAGGGAGTTATTTTAATAATTGATCGTGGAATTTATACCAGGTGAGGATAAAAGTGAGGAAAGATGGTAGGAACGCTAGATTGTAGGTCCTGCTGGGGTCAAAGGATTATAGAGATAGGGGTTCCAGAGAGGGTGATGTATTAGAGATTTTCGAAAAGAACCTTCTCCCTGTTGGTATTTAGGAAGGAAATCTCAGATGGAGGAAGTGCAAGATGAACTCATCCACAGACTGACCATTGGTCGGAGTGCCGCTCAGAAGAAATTCCATGTGCCACGGCAGAATGTGCCAGTTGTCAATATCACTTACGACTCCACACCAGAAGATGTGAAGACATGGTTACAGTCAAAGGGATTCAACCCTGTGTAAGTCTCTCGGTGAATACTTCACAATTCTGTGCCATGCGCTGTTTTCAATTTAGATGTCACAGATAACTCTTTAAAAACATAAGGGCTCAGACTGCATACTCAAGAAATGGCTACAGCTATTTATTGCTGAAAAGGAACTGAAATAAGCAGAAATAAGTATCATTTGATGCCACCCCATTTTCAAGTGGTAGTATCTGTTCATTATTGTTTCCTTAAGCAAACTGTTGGCAGCTTTAAGGCCCAATAGCTTCTTTTCTCCATCAGATTACTCTAATGTAACCTAGGACTTAAGCTAGGTAGGACTGTGGTCTTAGCTGGACTCCCTGGGCCACATGGGACATACACAGCATAAGTTTTCCTCCTGCTGCAGGACATACTGTCTCTGGCAAATAAAAAATAGACAATGTTACCTAGCATCAATTAGAATCTTAATAGAGCTTTTCCTTTAATAAACCCATGGTAAAGGCTCTATTATCTATCTAAAAGTCTGTAAACATTTCGTGTGTATTTGACACAATGAACTATTAGAATAATACATATTCAAGGGGCCTTGGCATATTACAAACTTACCTACCCAGCTTGACTGGAAAATGAGGTACAATGGTTAGTCAGTTGCCAGGTTACTATACCTTCTATGAAGCACCAAATCACAAGGAATTGGTATTAAACAATGATACTAACCCTGACTGGCTCCTTTTTGATACTTTGTAATTAATCATCTGCGTGGCCTCAGGGCCATCATCATGAAAGAACCTTGTTACTGCCCTGACTATAGAGACTCTAGCAGCATTTAATAAGGGTTCCAGGATATGGAACACTTAGAAATTTGTTAGTAGGCAGTATTTTTAATGCTCAGTTTGTTTTTCTTTTCTTTTTTTAGGACTGTCAATAGTCTTGGAGTATTAAATGGTGCACAGCTCTTCTCTCTCAATAAGGATGAACTGAGATCAGTCTGCCCTGAAGGGGCGAGAGTCTTTAGCCAAATCACTGTGCAAAAAGCTGCATTAGAGGTATGACTTGTCAACCCCAGGCGGTGTTTTTCTGCAAATTGAAAGCTCTGAAAACAACTGTTTATGTCCGTATGAGCCAGTTTCCCTTTCTTAACAGAGCGGAATTAAATTTAACTCTGCTTTTGTAAATGTGTCACTGGAGATCATCAGTGACATTTGCAGGAAGGTTGATTTGTTATAAATGCTCACATGACATGAAGCTTGAGCACATACTTTTGGACATTTAACAAAAAGCATAATGTTCCTATTTTGTATGTATTCACTATTTCTATAGGAATTTTAATTGTGACATAATAATGGAAATTAGCTTCTGAATGAGTAAGTGCCTTAAGAGGCCCAAACTCTTGCCTATTCTTAATATTTAGTTTGGAGATTCTAATGGTTTATAGGTTGTAAAATTGTAAATCTCTGGCTGTGTGTGTTAAATCTAGTAATACTTCTAAATAATCGGGAAAGATCCATTAGGTAGAGATCACTGAAAATAGCCCTGAAGAGTAATTGTTTAGTTATAGTGGTCTGTATGAAAGCAGGAGAGGCAATGTTTTCTACATTGGTTTATACTTAGGTTTCCAATATCCTATTGTAGCCTTAAAATGGGCTATGTACGGGTAGTAGTTTCCAACTGTTTCATCTCACAGCTCTTAATGGTTTCATGAAAATCATACTTGGACTCAAATGAAAGAATGTAGGCTTTGGCATGAAATTGATACATAATCAACTCTAGCAGGTATATTCTATAAATTCCACAGTTAAGTAATTCAGGGTAAAATCACTTCATGCATATCACCCCATAGCCATTCTAAATCGAGAGAAATTATATTTCCCTTGGAGGTTTTTCCCTACAACATTGATCTCGAAGGCTGCATATTGAAGTTTGATTTGACTGCTTTCCATATGTTGAATATTAATAAGGATTATAGATCTTCTCAAGCAGTTTTATTACCATTATAATCTAATTTTGTTGAGAGTGTATAATTACTTCTTAAAGGTATGTTAGAAAATTTCATATTCCTAAAATTTCTGAATTCCTTTATCCCACACCTGCCTATCATTATTGTCATTTGCTGTCACCACCCACTTCACGATGGCCTCTTGCTTCTTGTTGTCTTCCTGTTCCCTGGATGGGAACACAGGCAGAGGCTGGCTACCGGACGTTCTTCATGTTGCTCACCTACCTTCCGCCTCACCCTTTTCTTGGATCTAGTTATCTTTTAGATTATTTATCTGTGTGGCCAGACTTCTGTTGTTAAGAGTGGAAGAAGAGGAGAATACATGGATTATAGAGGGTCTGGGAAAGGAGAAAAGCTAGAATGATCAGAGGGTCAGAACTACATGGAAAGGAAACTGGGTGAATTCCGATCTCCCTCTGGCTTGAGTTAAAATCTTCTAAAGGCAGATCAGTATCCTGCTTGACCCAAAAAGAGTTCTTTGATAATTTTCCACGTGACTGTACTTATTGTACACAAATGCTCTTTCTCTCAGCAAACCTGGAGTACCATACAGACATTATTGGTTTATCTTTATCATGTTCAGATGAAAAACCTAGTGAGTGAATGGCCTTAACTGACTTTACAAAATGAAAAATTATTAATGTGATATATTAATGAAGTCCAGAAGCTTCTCTTAAAAAGTACAGTCATCAGCTTTCCTAAAGAGATCCTGGAAGAAAACCCCAGTACACTTTTATCCTGAGCCATTTCATTACATGACCTGCAGCCTACACAAACCAGTAACCACCTTGTCTGAACTGCTTCTTTTTCAGGATAGCAGTGGCAGCTCCGAGTTACAAGAAATTATGAGAAGACGACAGGAAAAAATCAGTGCTGCTGCTAGTGATTCGGGAGTGGAATCTTTTGATGAAGGAAGCAGTCACTAATCTGTTTGTTTTTAAACTCCATTGTTTTTGGCATTTTTTCAACATGCTTTGTTTAAGGAAGCCTCGAAGGGAATGTCAGATTCATTTTTCTTGTAGTAATTTATCGCCATAAAAAACCCCATGAAAACCTAAGTGAGCACAGGATTTGCTTCTAGGCCCATCATTTTTATTAAAACTGAAAAAAACTTAAACAGAATTTTTTGACCTTGGAAAATATTTTTCCTACTTTACCAAGGTAAAGTTTTCCTTTTAGAGTAATTATTTTATCCCCATTCCAGTGTATAAGCAGGAATTGTTTAGACAGTGGCGGATTTATTCACTGCAACAAGGCAACAATATTGTCCATGATTTAAAATCTAAGCAGTTTTGATTTTGTCTGTGAACATGGTGTCTGTCATTCAGGGCGTAGCTCACTGTAGGCTAGCCTCTGCTTACTTAGGTCTCTTTTCTGACATACTCGATGGAAGAATATTCAGATTTATTTAAAGTTCTTAATGCCAACGTTTGAATGAACTGTAAAATACAGCCATACCTTGGACATGCAAATATCAATCTATGGAGCATTCTCAAGACAGTTTGTCATGGCTCTGTTGATTGCAATTCCTTGTATAGCTTGTATTTTGATTTAGTTTATATTCTGCTTATTATGTATACTGTGTTCTTATATATGAGAAAGCACAAGTGGGAAAGAGGTCATGTCTGCTGAAAATCTAGCAAAGGAAGTAGTCTGCGTCGATGTGCAATTACAGTATTTTGCTTAATGAAAGCCTCAGTTCTGAATATCGATATTAGTAGTTAAAAGGAAATGGGGCCATTTTATGTGTTTATCTGTGTCAAGCCTTTCTGGTAATAAGAAGCACTTAATTTACACATATTTTAATCCTGTGAAAGATTCCACATAGAGAAAAGAAAGATACCTAACCTTCAACAAATGTTATTTTTGGAAACGCAAGTTTTGTCATTAAATGTTATTTCACATATATAAAACAGATGTTATGTAAGGATGTTGTATATTTTAACATAAATCATTTAGAGAAATTATCTAGAGTCATTAATTTTCATAGTGCCTTTTTCACATGAGTCAGCTGGAAAGTCTGCAATAAACACTATTTGCTGTCTGTTAATGGCTCCTGTCTTATTGGTAAAAAGGATCTGTGCATCGGCTGAGGGTTTGAGTTGAATAGAAGGGGGAAAAGTAGAGATCCATATTATGTATGTTTTAAACTATATATTGTTCTATTTCTGAGTGGGTAGAACACTCTAGAATACTTTCTCCAGTTGTTTTTCTCCTCTCACCTCTCATTTCATCATCTCTCCCTTCTACCATCTAGTCACATTTGGTAGCAATAATGGAACTAATTTACACTGACTTACGGTTGCTAAATGCTTCCACATAAATGCTTTCCTGGATATTTGCAGCAACTCTATATGAGTTATGATAGATGAAGAGATTTAGCTTTCTAGAAGATAATTTTCCCCAGATCATGAAGGATGTGGGTTTCTCATCTTCCATCTCTCGGTCTCTCTATGGCACTGCCCCTTGGATAAAGTAGAGCAAGCATGAGCATGATAAAGGCAAATTAGTTTAGATCTTTTACATTTCATAAGAACTAACACTTATGTATAATTTAGCCTTTATTTAAAGGGATAAGATGAAAGAAAATAAGATGTAAAATTTAACATGTGTGTAAAATAGCATATGGATGTGAAAACAATGGTGTAATTTATATCTTTATGCTATAAGATACCAAAGGAATGTACCACAGAGGTAGTAATTGCAAAAAGCAGTCATGTCAGCTAAGGGTATGGGGACAAACAGAAGAGGTTCATGGAATTTAGAATCTTGAGACAGTGGCACTACAGAGTTTGGATCCAGATATCTGAGGGGTTTCGTCACTGGCATCTGAGGATTTGAAGAAAGACCCCCCCCCCCAACAAGGCTAACAAGGGACATAATCTAATTGGTGCTTTTGCCTCAGGTGTTCAGAAAGAGTTCAGGAATTGAAAATCAGTTAAGAAAATCCATGCATCTGGGACTTAGACTTTGGAGAAGAGCATGGCAGGTAGCTGTTGCTTGAATCTCTAAGAGGGCACAAAGAGGATGCCTCTGGGAGCATGGGAAAAGAAAACTGGAAAATTGAGCCAACTACTGCTTCTGGGAATCATTTGCTACTTATTTATTTATTTACTTACTTACTTATTGAGACGGAGTTTTGCTCTTGTTACCCAGGCTGGAGTGCAATGGCGCGATCTCAGCTCACCGCAACCTCCACCTCCTGGGTTCAGGCAATTCTCCTGCCTCAGCCTCCTGAGTAGCTGGGATTACAGGCACGTGCCACCATGCCCAGCTAATTTTTTTTCTTTTTTTTGTATTTTTAGTAGAGACCTGGTTTCACCATGTTGACCAGGATGGTCTTGATCTCTTGACCTCGTGATCCATCCGCCTCGGCCTCCCAAAGTGCTGGGATTACAGGCGTGAGCCACCATGCCCGGCCCATTTGCTGCTTATAAAGTGAAGAACCATGACTGGGGTGATGTTGGAAGCAACAGAAAGTAGAACTGGTGGGAGGAAGCCCCTTGTTCCCTCCCAAGCCTTCTATCTCCCTGTAGTGCATGCATTGGGTGCAGTCTATTGAGCATGCACCTGACAAAGCCCCAAATCTCAAATATGAGAATGAAGGGATGGATTTGAAGCTGAGGGAATAACACATAACCCATTCCAGTCTCAGTAGATGGCCTCTACACTTGCTCTTCTGTACATATTTGAAATTTCATACAACAATAAGCTTTAAAATGTGGGCTAGGAGCAGAAGACAGGTTCATGCTGGTAACACCAGTACTTTGGAAGGCCAAGATGGGAGAACTGCTTGAGCCCAGGAGTTCAAGACCAGCCTGGGCAACAAAGCGAGACCTGTGTCTACAAAAAAAAAAAGAGGAGCCACATTTGTTAACATTCACCTATAGTCCCAGTTACTTCGGAGTCCAAGGTGAAAGTGTCATCTGAGCCAGGAGTTCAAGACTGCAGTGAGCCATGATTGCATCACTGCATGCCAGCCTGGGCGATGGAGTGAGAACCTGTCTCTTAAAAAATGATTTAACAATTTAAAAAATAGAAAAGCTTATGATTTTACTTAACAAGATGCAATCACGTTTCTCTGTTATTTAAGTGGTATTTAATATAGAGTATTTAATGTAAAGAATTGGGTGTTTTGTTTTTTAAAAATATCTTCTATATCTCTGCTTAACTCAGTATTTTTCAACATTCCCAATTATATGGAATGCAATTAGAATATCAGTCTTAAAAGGGGATTCTGTGAAGACGGCAGAGTAGGAAGTACCAGCAACCTGCCCACCCACCTAAACAATAATTACACTGGGTGAGTCTATTTGATGTAACTTTTGAAACTCTGGAACCCATTGATGGCTTGCAACTTCGGGGGGAGGCTTGGTTGGTAATTTGCAGTTAATTTTGGTGAATAGCAAAAATTAATAAAAATTTTGCTCTTAGCCCAGTACAGCTACCCATTCCCCACCCCCAACCCTGTGGCATCAGATGTGCACGTTCCTGGAACAGCCTGCACACAGCTTGTGGGAGCCTGGGTCGGCAGAACGGGCCTTTTCCCCCAACGCTGGCTCTCTGTTCTTTGATCACAGAGGTGCAAAGAGGCAGAGACTGTTGTTGTTTCCTCCACACATTATTATTGCCAACTTTCCCTCTGGCCAAAGGTGACTTTTAGAGACTTTACAGCCTGGCAGCATTTCTTCTTTTTCTTAATTTTTTTCTCCTTTTGGGATCCAGATATTGAAAACTAGTACATTCTAAAGCAACCATATATAACGGGAAAATTTGAAAATTTTTGTGCAAGCTTATTAGGAGAAGGCACAGGTTCAGGAAACACATGTGAAGACCTTAATTTTACACCTTGTGTTGATCTACATGAGAAAGAGACCCTACCCCCCCCAAATAGCAGAAAACATCAAACCCTGGGGGAAAGAAGGCATCCAACAGGGCCTTAAGGAGGAGTTTAATGTCTACAGTTACCACATTATTAGATGCAAGTGTTCAGTTTTCAACAACAACAAAAAATCACAAAGTATAAAAAAAAACTGGAAAGTAGAGCCCATTTAAAGGAGAAAAACCAACTGAAATGATCCCTGAAAAAGATATGGTGGCAGACCTACTAGATAAAGACTAAAGAAGCTGCTTTAAATATGCCGAAGAACCGAGAGAAGACATAGAGGAAGTCAAGAAAACTATGTATGGACAAAATGGAAATTATAATAGATAACATAAAAAGAAAATTCTGAGATCTAAAAGTACAATAACTAAAATGAAAAATTTGCTATAGGAATTCAAAGACATATTTGAGCAGGCAGAGGAAAGAATCTGAAATTGAAGATTAGGACAATGAAAATGATCAAGTCTGAGGAACAAGAAGAAAAAAAATGGAAGAAAAAGTGAACACACCCAGCCAAACCTGTGAAACACCAGGTTAAGTGAACCCACATATGCATCATGGCAGCCCCCAAGAGGGAGAATAGAGAAAGGAAGAGTAGATAAAATGTTGGAAGAAATAATGGCCACGAACATCTCAAATTTGATGAAGCATCTGAATATAAGCATTCTAGAAACTTAATGAACTCCAAATAAGATGAACTCAAGGAGACACCACTGAGATTCGTTACAACCAAAGTGTCCAAAGCAAAAGACAGAATCTTAAAAGTAGCAAGAGGGAAAATGACTTACCACATACAAGGAATCCTTGATAAGATTATCAGCAGATTACTCATCAGAAACTTTAAAAACCAGAAGGCAGTGGATTAGTACATTTAAAATGCTTAAGGGGAATAAAAACCCAAAACTTTAAGAATTCTATATTTGGGGCCAGGTGCAGTGGCTCATGCCTGTAATCCCAGCACTTTGGGAGGCCACCACACCCAGCTAATTTTTGTATTTTCAGTAGAGACCACGTTTCACTGTGTTAACCAGGATGGTCTCAATCTCTTGACCTGGCTGGGTGTGGTGGCGCGAACCTGTAGTCCCAGCTACTGGGGAGGCTGAGGCAAGAGAATTGCTTGAACCCAGAAGGCAGAGGTTGTGGTGAGGTGAGATTGAACCATTGCACTGTAGCCTGGCCAACAGGAGTGAAACTCCGTCTCAAAAAAAAAACAAAAAAACGAAAAAAACACAAAGCATCCTATATTCAGCAAAACTTGTCCTTCAAGAAAGGAGAAATTGTGACATTCCAAAATAAACAAAACCTGAGGGAATTTTTTAAGCAAAAGACCTGCCCTGCAGGAAATGCTAAAGGGAGTGCTGAAGTTTGAAGAAGTTTGAAATGAAGATATGTGAAACGGTAACCTGAAGCCGTCTGACCAAACACAGATCTCAGTGATGCTATGTGCACGGGCCACTGTAAAAGCTTGTATTATTGTAACAATGGCACGTGTTTCCACTTTCTGTTTTCCACATGATTGACAGACTTAATATATTTTTCAAACAATTATTGTGAAGCCTAGTGTTATTATTATAACTTTGGTTTCTAACTCCACATTTTTATTAAAAGACAGATTATTAAAAGTTTATGTTTCTGGTTCCACAACGTATAAACATGTAATGTTGTGACATCAAAAACTGAAGGAGACAGGGAGATAGCTGTTAACGGAACAGAATGTGTTGAAGTTAAGCTGATAACAGCATGTTATAACTTCAAGATGTTAAATGTAATTATCATGTTAATCACAAGGAAAATAGCTTAAAATATACACAAAAGTTAACAGGTAACTTTAAAAACTTTTATTTATAGTAGCATAAAACAGAAATAAAATTCTTAGGAATTATACAAGGCAGTATGTGAAATTTGTTCAATGAAAACTATGAAACATTTCTGAAAGAAATTAAAGAGGGTGCCAATAAATGGAACAAAATCCCATATTCATGGATTGGAAGAGTTAATACTGTCAAGGTATCCATAACATCTAAGCCATCTACAGATTAAGGTTGGCAGTCTCTGAAAATCCCAATGATGTGGGGCTTTCTTGTTTGTTTTTTGTTTTGTTTTGCTTTAGGTAGAAATAGAGAAACCCATCCTAATATTCATATGAAATCTCAAAGAACTCCAAA